GGGGCCCCTTGGGGGCTCTTTATGTGTTCTTAGACCCCTATCTGTGTTGGGCTCACCAGCTGCTCTCACAAGCCACCACAAGGTTCATCGCTTAAACAGCGCATATCCCCGCCATGCGGTTCTGGGGTCCAGAGTCTGATCGGTGTTGCGGGCTACCTTCCTCCCTGGGCTGGCGTTCTCCAGCTCCTGGGATGCCTGCACTCCATGCACCTTCCCCCGTCTTCATAACCAGCAGCGAAGTGTGCCCCTCTCCTGCCTCCCTTCTTGCCTTGTAAGGACTCTCGTGACGCCTTTGGGCCCACTCCAATGACCCAGGGGCCTCTCCCCATCTCCAGGACCTCCATTTCATCACATTGGCTAAGCCCTTTCTGCCACAGGAGAGGACATACAGGCTCCCAGGACTGGGACATGGGCAAGTGGGGTGGGGGGGGCGCATTATTTTGTCAACCACATCACCCCCTCTGTTGTGAAGGAAGACCTGGGGATTCAGGAGGCTTTGCTAGGCAAGTTTCGACCTTCAGTCATTCTGTCTCTCAGCTCATGACCCCCCTACCACTGGCTGCCATGGGCACAGGAGCCCCTTCCCTCCCTACCACTGGCTGCCATGGGCACAGGAGCCCCTTCCCTCCCTACCACTGGCTGCCGTGGGTACAGGAGCCCCTTCTCCTCCCTACCACTGGCTGCCGTGGGCACAGGAGCCCCTTCTCCTCCCTAGGCCACTGCTTCCCTCGGCTAGGACATTCCAGGTCCAGGCAAAAAGGCCTACAGGGACCCAGCATCCCCAGAGGTCCCGGGTCTGCCTCCCTCGTGGTCAGATGGCTGAAACTGCCTGCCTGGCGCCTGGCTCGGGAGAGGCCGGAAGGGTCTGCCCCGCCGCGTCTGTCCTCTTAGTTGCATCCCACACAGAGGGAGAGGCCGGAAGGGTCTGCCCCGCTGCGTCTGTCCTCTCAGTTGCATCCTGCACGGAGCTTCGTCAGTGTTCACAGCCAGCCCACGGGCGAGGGAGGACCCTGGAGAAGCTGTCAAAATGCAAAGCATCCCCATCCTGGTTCCCCTCCGCTGCTCCTGCAGATCCTCCCCTCCTCAGGGAAGGCTGGGAGCCATGGTGGTTAGGATCAAGCGGCCCCTAACAAAACCCCACTTGATGTGGTCTCCTACCTAGACTGGGGCTCGGAGGGGTGGAGATTTACAGAGAAGTAACTCAAACCCAAGATCCGTTCTCCAGCCAATCAGGAGCCTGGGGCCTGTGCTGCTAACAGCTCCTCAACAAACAGCTGTGCAAATCCCGCCCCATCCCGCCTGGGAGAGGGAAGGAGGAACCAGTCCTGCCAGGAGGCGGCTCATTTGGTGGACCAGGAAATGGAGAGTGGCAGGAAGCCCAGCAGAGGCCAGCCCCAGAGAACAGTGGGAGAAAACTGGACCCCACACACCCAGATGCCAGACTCGGGGCTTCCCCGGGGGAGGGCGGATGACCCCCACCTGAAGGCTTTGGGAAGGTGCTCTCGGGGGTGGTGAGGAGCACTCGAGGGAGGGGACACATGCACTGGCGTCCCTGCCCACGTCCTGGGGGCCAGCCAGCTGGGCTGCGGTGGTCACAGAACTGTCCACCCCTCGCAGGGTCCCGGTTCTAGGGCTTACCTTGTGATTGAGCAGCGGGCCCCCCAGGAAGCACCCACTCTTCCCAGCTGAAGCTGACAGGCAGGCTGCGTGGCCCCTGGGCTGCCCGCTCTGTCCCTCATGGCCTGCCTGGGGAACGTGGATGGAAGCCGGGTGCTGGGGGAGCCAGGAGTAGAGCCAGCCCCTGCGGTGGCCACAGGCCGGGCTGAGCTCCCAGCAGCACCCACGCTTTCACATGTGGTTCCTTCCCGTCCCTCAGCGGCAGTTTAGAAACTGCTTCAAAACAGCTTGTCTGTGAGAAATTTTTCCCATTATTTATCCCAGCTCCTTCCTGGTTGGAGTCGGGGAAGCCATTTTGTGATGGACGATGACCCCGGCTTCTCTTCCCTCGTCCTAGCTGCTCCGTGCAGCCCTGCTCAGCAGGGTGTCTGTGGAGAGCGGGGCCCTGCAGAAATGAGCCCACTTCCTCTGATGCCCCAGGACGGGACACAGCTTGTTGGGGCCCGGAGTCAGAGAAGTGAATTGGCAACAATGGACGTGGTGGGGCGTTGCCGCTACCCAGGCACAGCCCTGCCGTGCAGTCACACGTTCTCATTGCAAGGCAGCTGCGAGAGTCGCCACCATCACGATCACGGTCATTAGACCCGTTTCCACTGCATTCCCTAAGCTGTACCCTGGGGGTCCCAGGAGAGACCAGGGCATCCTTTTGAATTCGGGAAGTTTAATGCTCTCAGACAAAAACAGACCTCTGCTCTGCCCCGTCGTAGGAAGGTTTGCTTTTCCTCTGGATCATGGGAAGGAGTCAGCGTCAGGGATTTGGGGCCTGTGTGCCTGGATCTGAGCTGCTGGAGTTGTAGGGACTGCCCCAGCTGTGGTGCAAGGAAGGAAATGGCTGCTCGCTGAGCACAAAAATACATTAACTTGGTCAGCAGTCATTGTGGATGCCAGACCTCGGGGTAACGTGACCCACCGTCCCAGTTTGGCTGGCACTGAGGGTTTCCTGCAATTCAGGCTAAAGCCAAACTAGCCCTGGGCACACTGGGATAGTTGGTCACCCTGGGAGCGGGGACAGAGCAGAGAGCAAGACAGGTGCTGCCTGCCATTCCAGAGCGCTGCCCTCCTTCTGCAATGACGGCCACACAGGAGAGCCTGTGGCAGGAGCACCCGCTCCGGCTGTGTCCTCTCTGCTCTTCACCCCTGCCCCCAGCCTGGGAGGTCAAGATCATTATCCCAGTTTCACAGGTGAGATGGAGGGGGCACCAGTTGGCAAACGGTCTTTCCCAGTGTAAAGGGCAGTCAGAGGCAAAGTTGGGACTGCAGCCTGGCCGCCTGCTCTGACAAGGTGTTGCTCTGCCCACAACCCCTGCCAACCCCTACCGCCCTGACCTCACACCTAAGTGCCACACATTCCTTACTCTCTTCCTAGAGAGAAAGTAGCAAAGAAAGTTTCCCTCAGCAGCATTCACAGGGAGAGCTGGCTCTAACCCTTCATCAGCTTTCTCTTCCCCAGGGGTTGTACAGAGCTGGGGCTAGGAAGGATTAAACAAGCAGGCCAGGGTGGCTCTGCCCAGGAGCCCACAGACCAGTCCTTTCCTGCCCCAGCAGCCCACACAGTTCTCTGCAAAAAGAAAAAAAAAAAAGAGCAGGACGATAATGAGCCAGCCACCCTTCACTGATTTGCACATAATCGTATCTTTCCCTTGATGGAACCAGCAACCGGGCCGCCCCGACATCTGTTCTCTCCATCTCCCCCACTTTTATTCAAGCGGCTCAGACTGCACTTGGTTCGGTTCACTGTTCAAGAAACATTTACTGAGGCCTGGCTTGGGTGGCACAGAGGTAGAGGAGGGAGAAGGGCTGGGGATTGATGGAAGCCTCCCTGTGCACGGCACAGACAGGTAACCAAGGCTCGAGATGAAAGCCACTGCTCCAACGGCACTTCCCAAGACGAAGTCCCTCAAAATGCTCATGGGTAGTGGGGCGTGCTGTGACTGAGCTCCTCACGGCAAGGATATGAGCTTATCACAACTGTTAGCATTAGCATCGGCTCCATGTTACGGAAGAGGAAACTGAGGCCCAGGAGGTGTAGTGACATACCCTGGGCCCCATAGATAGAAGCGATCAAGCTCAGGTCCCTCTGGTCCTACCTCCTGGTCTCAGCAGAACAGACCAGCTGGGAGAACAAAGAGCCCATCTTCATGCTGTCTGCTGCATGTCAGGCACTGTCGGAAGTACTCAGGGAAACTATACATAGCCCAGTGGGCAGGGCCTCAGGACCCCTGGGCTCATCCCGGTCTGGTCAGACTCAGTGCAGGTGACCCTGCACATCCAAAAGCATAGGATGCAGCCAAAGCCGGGATTTGAGGGCAAATCCGCCCTCAAATCTTCTGCCCCGTATAAGGACATTGTCACTAACTGCAGGGCTCGCTCGAATCCAGAATGAGCTCCTATAGGGCCTTTCACTCGGTGACATCTTCAAAGCCCCTTCTCTTCCCTTCCCCAATGCGGCCACATTCTCACATGCCTTTCGGGGCTCGCCATCAAACCCGCCACCCTGACCATCAGCTCGCTTCCCTGAGAGGGGGCACACCCACTACCCCCCGCCTCACCCTGGCTTCGGGCTGCTTCCTTGCTGCTGCCCAGTTGGCAGGCGTCCTCCTTGTCTGCAAGCTCCTGGAGCATGTGGGCAAGGAAGGGAAAAGGGGTTGAATCCATGCTCCTTCTCCCAGGCCCTACCTGGCAGGGTCCACAGCTCCCAGAACTGTGCTGCTCCCCTGAGCACCTGTTCTGTGCTGGGCTGTGTGTCTGGCACCCTGGACAGGCCGACAGGATGAGGAGAACACGGTGCAGCCACTTTGCAGGGAGTGCCGCAGCCCATTGTGCATTCTTCCTGGGGAATGAGATCAAGACACCACCTCCCGGGGTGTGTGGTCTTGCAGCCCCCGGAGGAGAGGGACCCCCGGGCCTGCCTGTGCTCCAGAGCTCACCTGACCCCTGACCTGGGGCACTTTAGGGTCCCTTCCACGCCCTCACTTCTACGGTGTCAGACGCTCACCCAGACAGGAGCCCCTGACTCACGAGAGAGCTGCTCCCCTTCCAGGTGGGCTGTGGTAGGAGGCTCCAGGAGGCCTCCCAGAGGCCCCTCCAGTGGAGTGCAGACCCCTTGAGTTATAGCTCTAGCCACCACACTTGTCTTTGCCAGGTTCCTCTTCTGGAGACCAGGAACTGGTCACGCATCTGTGTCCCCAGTGCCCAGCCTGGCAGGGAGTGGGTGGCAGCCTTGAAGGGTGAAGGAGGAAAGGAATGAATCAGCGAGTGGGTGGGGTAGGCCGGCTGGGCCATGCAGGCCAGCCCAGCCCCTGACAGTTTCGTGTCCCTTGCAGATGTGCTGGTGGACGGACAGCCGTGTGACTGTGAGTCTGCGGCGGCCTGCCAGGTAGGCGACCCCGTGCGCCTGGAAGTGCGGCTGACCAACCGGAGCCCGCGCAGCGTAGGGCCCTTCGCCCTCACCGTGGTCCCCTTCCAGGACCACCAGAATGGCGTGCACAACTACGACCTGCACGACACCATCTCCTTCGTGGGCTCCAGCACCTTCTACCTCGACGCGGTGCGTGGTGGTGTGCAGGGTGGTCTGGGAGCCTCTGGTCATGTGGCCCAGGCCCTCATGGTCATCGTCCCCCTTCCCTGGGTGGTGGGCTTTGGGGTCAGCATACGTCCAGCAGACGACAGTAGCAGGGGTTCTGTGGTCACGTGTGCACACTGAGTCTGAGCCTGCCCCACCCACTGCAGGAACTTAGACAAGCTCACCTCGTTCTGTGTCCTGGGCAGTGAGGCCCTGAGCGTTGGTGAAGCAGGAAAATGTGCAGGGAATGGGAGCTATGCCCAGGACAGGGTGCCACTCCATGATTGGACCCTGCTGTGGCATCACTGTGATGTCACTGTCACCCATCCCATGCCTGCCGCTCCTCCCATGGAGAGGCTCCAGCCCACACCCTTGGCCCCCACCTCCCAAGCTGCCTCTCAGCCCCTCACTGTCAGGCCCCAGCACAGGCTGTCATTCCGTTCCCCTTTGCCCCAACCTCTCCCTCACTCCCTCCCACACTCCTGACCCCCTGTGCCCCCAAACAATTCAGGAATGGGAATGTTGGCAGCTCCTTTCAAAGACAAATCTGGCTTGCAGAGGCACAGTGACCTGCTGGAGGGGACATTGGAGCCAGGCCTGGGCCGCCCTCACTTCCCCCATAGCACCTGTGTCCAGGCAGGTTCCTGAGATTCCTGGCGGCTTTGGGTGGCCCATGCTGCTGACCAGACTGACGCGTCTTTCTCCTCCCTGCTCAGGTACAGCCATCTGGCCAGTCGGCCTGCCTCGGGGCCCTCCTCTTCCTCTACACGGGCGACTTCTTCCTCCACATCCGCTTCCACGAGGACAGCACCAGCAAGGAGCTGCCACCCTCTTGGTTCTGTCTGCCCAGCGTGCACGTGCGCGCCCTGGAGGCGCAAGCCTGAGCCCGCCCACTTCCGTCCCTGTTTCTGCAGGGCCAGAGGTGACCCAGCCTGGCCTCCCACACCCCCTGCAATGAGCAAGGCCTTCACTGCAGCCCTGTCTCCCCTTCCTTCCCCAATCCCCACCCAACCCTCTCCTCCCATTCCTCCTGTAGCATCTTTGCTGGGCTACGCAGAAGCCCCCAGACATGGCAGCCCCACCCCGTGCCACACCCCTTCCCACACTGTTCCCTGGACTATACACAGGCCAGAGCAGAGGAAACCCCAGAGTGGGTGCCCATTCAGCCCAGGTCCCAGGATCCCTGCATCCGTTTATGTGACCTGGGGCCCCAGCCTTGCTGTGCTGCTCACCCCAGCAGAGGGACCTCCCTCATCCAGCCACTTCCCTTTGGCCATAGAAAGAAACGGTGAGCATGAGGCTGGGCGCAGCCTGAGGGCGTGGGCAGCTTCCCTCCCTCCCTGGGCCTTGGAATCCCCCAAGGCTGGTTTTCTTCCTGGAGACCCCCATGGGCAACTTGGCAGGAGAGATGGTGCCGTAGGTGGTCATGGATGGTTGACACCAAGAGAGGCCTTCCACCCATGGTGGGCAAATGTCCAGGCCTGGGCTGCCAGCCCAGGGCTGTTTCTGGGTGCTCCCTGGCCCCAGGGTGGTATCTGGGTACCGTGGCTATGTGTGTCCATGTCTGTGAGCAGTTCTTCAATAAATGGCCTGCCTCCTCCTCCTCCCTGCCTCCCTGCATCTGCTGGCCCAGTGTAGTCCAGGGCCCCCACCCAGCCCGTCAGCCCCCACCTCAGGTGGCTGGCTTCCCAGCAGAAGCTGGACCCAGGAAGGGACGGGTTCTGAGTTCGAGATCCTGCATAAGCAAACCCTGAGACAGGAATCTGGGCACCAGCAGCTTGTCTGGGAGGTGGAGGGGAGCCCCTCAGGGGAGGGACATCACCCGTGAAGGAGTGTGACTGGGCCCGAGCTGCCGCCACAGTGGGCAGCTGGCCCTGCGTTCCTCAGGGAGAACAGGAGAGAGAAAGCACACGGCTCACATCTCCCTTGAGGGCCAGAGCTGAGGGGTGTCTACACCACCCGCAAGAGTCCTGGCCTGGGGGCAGGCTCCTGGCTGTGTTGACCCTTGGCTCTCCAGTTCCTGGGAAGGATAAACAGCCCTTGGTCCCCAGCAGATGTCAGGCTTGTCAGGCATCCACTGGGCACTGAAAGTCCCATGGAGTGTTGGGGACAGAGAGCAAGGCTTCCTCAAGGCCACTTGGCCAAACAGGCAGAGCCAGGAAGTGGCTGCCCTGGCCCCCTATGCGGCAGAGTCGTGTTGGCATCAGGAGGCCTGCAGGGCTGAGGGAGCTTCTGGAGGACCTGAAGCCCCAGGCCCAAACCTCCCTTGCTGGGAGCAGGGTCACCCTGTGGCCTCTGGCCTGAGGAGCAGGTTTTTCTTCCATCTATGTCCTCCTGTTGTTGCCCAGTGAATGATGGGAGCACTCTGTGAATGGTGGGTGCACTCTGTGAATGGTAGGAGCACTCTGTGATGTGGTGTGGGCTGGGGGCATGTGGGGGCAGCTGTCCAGTGGCCCTCAGTCCCTGGAGCTCATTCAGCATCTGCTCAAGGCTCCCCAGGGAAGGCAGCCCCAGAAGGTCTGGCTACAGTAGTGGGTGGGGACCCCAGGGCGGTCTCTTCAGCCCTTCCCTTCAGGACGCATCAGTGTAGTTGAGGGCCTGGACACTTGGGCTGTTTCTGAATGGAACAAACAGCATCCATGTGTGTCAACCTCAACAGAGCCCAAAACTATGCCATTGAATGAAACAACACTTTGCAGGATGATGGGCGCAGCGCAACCCCACTTGTGTAGACAGTGTGCCCCCCAAATTATAAATTTCATATGCCTCCGAACGTGTCTATAACAACATGTTTAAAGGTAGAAAGGATACACATCCCCTGTAGAAGAGTGACCTCAACTGGGGTTGCAATTGACATCTCATCTGATGTCACAGTGAGGGTGCTGGTCACCGGGGACTTGAGTAACGTACTTTCCCTTCAAAAGCACAAGAGATGAAGATACAGGTACACACATGCTACAGATATAGATCCAGCCATAGATCCAGATTAGATATAGATGCATATAGAAGCCTAGAAAAGCCAATATGGAAAACTCTGCTAGGTCTGATTCTGAGTGGCAAGCATATTGGTGACTGTAATTCTTTTTTTGCAGTTTTCTATATTTTTTTAGTTTCCCCAAATACAAAAAATACCCACAACAGTTACCAGAGAAAATGCTGGATGCCACAAGAAGAAAGAATGTCAAGGGGCAGGAGGCAAAGTTGTCTTCTTGGAGGAGAGAGTGTTAGAAATAACCCAGACCTCCTGGAAAATGACCCAAATACAGCCTGACTGTGCCAGCCCCAGGCCCTTCCCCAGCCCCAGGGCACCCTTTCTGTCCCAGTAGAGAAGGTGACCTGGAGTCAGGTCTTGTGTGTGCTCCAAGCATTTGGAGCTTTACCATGGGATGTGGGGAGCCAGGGGTGTTTTTTGCTGGCATTTCTGTGGCTGGGTCATTCTGGCTGTGGAGCTGTGTTCGTGGGCAATGGCTGAGATGGAGGACCTGAGGCAGGTGTCTCAGTGACAGCACAGTATCCTCCAGCCTCTTCCAGGGCCCCATGCTGCTGGCTACCTGGCAATACAGTCCAGCGGTTGCTGCTTCTCTAGGACCCTGGTGCATTCAGAAACCTCCTGAAGGCCAGCGGAGGGTAAACCAGGAATAGACCATGTCCATTTCACTTCACTAGCTGAGCGGGTTGGTTTTGCCCTTCTGATCCTTGGTCCCTCAGGGCAGGACAGGCCTGCAGTGACCCCATAATCATGCAACCGTCATGCTCTGTCATCTGAAATTCACAAGGAAGGCAAGGATTCAAAGGAAGATGTCTGAGATGCTGAATTCCAGCTCAGCCACTTGCCAATTCCTTGACCTTGGACAAGTTACTTAAATTAAGCCTTGATTTTTTTCATCTGAATAAATAGATATACAAATACTTATTTCATGGGCACTTTCATACCAGTTTGTTTGATTTAATCTCCTAGATTTTTTAGCACATGATAGCAACTTCTCAATAAATACTGGGCCCCTTCTCTTAGCCTTCCCATTGCTGTTCTTTTTAATTCCATCCACATGTCCTGTGCCTGAAATATCCTGTGCCATGTGCCTGAAATTCCATTCTTCTCCTAGGACCCTTAACAGGCCACATTGCTATGCTCCATTATTCCCCTGCATGGCTTACTGTATTAGGTAACATGAAGCATCTAAGGAAGAACTTTCTAACACAAGTGCTAAAATGGGACAGGGAATGCTGATGGAGTGAGCTCTTTGTCAATAGAGCAAAGTCCAGACCTGTAGATGGTTTCAAAACATGTAAGCATCATTTGGGGATTCTGAGCCTGCCAGCCAAGAAATTGTCAATGATGACTTGTTAAGAGGTATTTCTGATCCCAGTAAGCAGGGGAGAGAGAGTGAGATGTATGTGACCATATGGCTCTTGGGACCTCAAGCAATGTCTTAAGACACAATAAATTTTGATCAAAAAAGGGTTTCAACATGAGGGACTAGAGATCTAGACTAGGGATCTAGGCTAAGCCTCTCACTGAAAACACATTTGTAAGTGCATCCATGACCTGGCAGGAGAGTCAGAAATACTCAGCCCAGTACCTGTGTCCTGAGAGGTAAGCTGTGCACTGATGCCAACTTCCACTTTGAGGGATTTTGCCAAAGCCAGAGTATCAATTTCTTCAGCCTTCCAAAACTGGAGGAAAGATGACAAAGCCCAGGGCCCACTGGCTGGGGAATCGAACAGGTGACTGCTTCCCATCAATTTGAGAGCCCAAAGATTACACCTTTAGTAAAGGATGAACTAAAAATTATCCTCTTCCCACCCTACTAGGAGAGTAGATGTAACACTTCCCTGTCTTGACTGTTTGATTCCAAATTGACCCTCCCATGAATTTGCAGTCCCAAATTACACTCCCTAACTGCCTCTTCCAAACCTTAAGTGTTAATTAATTTCAAAGACAGACTGCACTCCATCATACAGGTACCAGACAAAGAAAGAAACACATCATTTTTGGAGGAATTCATTTTTATCCAAAAACCTGCAAGAGTTTCTATGAGGAAAATGATTATTTCAGAGTTTAAAAACAAAGTCATGAAATACACAAGGAAGCAATGCATCATGAGTGAGAGCTAGGAGAGACAAAATCAGCAAATGCAGGGTTGAAAAAGAATCAGATACTGGACTTATCAGACATAGACTATAAAATGACTATGCTTAACGTGTTACAAGAAGTGAAAAAGAAGACTAAAATGGGTAAAGAGCTAGAATATAAGAGAATCAAGCAGAACTTCTGCAACTGAAAAATAGAATTGAAGTGAAATATTTAATGAATAACTTGAAGAGCAGATTAAACTCAGTTCAAGACAGAACTAGTGAATGAAAGGTAGAATTGAAGATGTTTTTAAAAACAGAAACCAGAAAATATGAAAGAAACTTAAGGAAACACGGAGGACAAAGTGAGAAACTCTCAAATATATCTACTTGGAGTTTCTGGAGGAAAAGATAAAGAAAATGGAGAAAATGCAGTATTGAAGAAATAATGACTGAGAACTCCTCAAAACTCATAAGGATAAAAATCCACAGATTCAAGAAGTCCAAGAAATTCCTAGTAGGATAACAGTTAAAATACACAGTTGACATATCATAATACAATTTCAGGAGACCAGATGCAAAGGGATGATTTTTAAAAGAGAAAGACAAGACAAATTACTTTCCAAAGAGTGGCAATTGATTAACAGCTGACTTCTCACCAACAACAATGGGGTCCAGGAGTTAGTGAAATAATACCCAGACATGCTGAGCAACAAAAATACTTCCCAATGAGTAAAAATAATGACATCGTATTATAAACAAAAGCAGAGTTTTCCACCACCAAAACCTCATTAAAGGGAATTTGAAATACAAGTAGAAGGAAATTGATACCAGATGGAATGTCAGAGATGCAAGAAGGAAGGAAGAACAAATTCGGTGATACATATGTCAGTAAATCTAAACAAACGTTTACGGTACATGTAATAATGTGAACTGTTGATTTACAGCATAATAGAATTAACGTATATAGCAAAATAGCACATAAATGTTGATGAGGGGATTATTGGAATTAAAGTGTGATAAGGTCCTTTAATTTCAATTTCAAAGATTTAGGAGGAGGGTAAAGATATTGATTCACTTAGACTTGGACTTTGGTGCTTTATTTATGAAAGTTTCAGCCAGGCATGATGTTTCATGCCTGCAATTCCAGGACTTTGGGAGGCTGAGGTGGGAAGATCACTTGAGCCCAGGAGTTCAAGACCAGCTTGGGCAACATAGCAAGACCCCATCTCTACAAAAAATTTAAAAATTAGAAGGGGTGGCTCATGCCTGTAGTCCCAGTTACTCAGAGGGCTAAGATTGGAGGGTCACTTGAACCTGGAAGTTTGAGGCTACAGTGAGCCATGATTGTACCACTATACTCCAGCTGGGGGACAGAACAATAACCTCTCAAAAAAAAGGTTTCCAAGTTTCCATTTCTGGGGTAACAAGAAGATGAAAAATAGCATGAGTAACTTCTAAATTTGTGAACCCCAAAACTGGAATAAGGAAAACTAATCAGTCTGAAAGAAGTCAAGAAAGAAGAAAA